AAAGCTCCAGATAAAACCAATTATCTGACCCTTATCAGTCAGACTTGAGGGCTCGGCATGAAATTAATACAACTTTGGTTGTACTAGTGTTTGGCCTTTATCAGGTTATGATAAAGGTTTGGGATTTACAGTGGTCCCATTTCTTCTTCAGTGGACAGTTCTGGCTGGTGGCAGTAGGGTTTGTTCCTATTGAGATGCCACAGAGATCAATCTTTTCCCCCTACCACTTAATAGCTACATGAAGACACAAGAAAAGGCCATTTTTCAGTTGGGATTTGATAATCTGATAATACTGAGCTTTATATCGCTACCCTGGGCCATACTGATCAGGCTTCTGAAACATTGTTCTAATATCTGCAGGCAGTAAGAGTCTGAATAGGTTAAAAAGTTTGTTCATCAGTGTTCTCAGATGGCTCCAGATGGAGAAACATTATCTCTGAAGGAGCATATCTATAACTTCTGGGAGATTTTTTTCTGGACCTGTAGCTCCTGCTTGAACAGTAGGTAGAAGCTATGGTCAGGGAGGCCTTTGCCCAGCTTCAGCTGATACATCAGTTGCAGCCCTACCTGAGATGAGAGGACCTTGTTCTTATCACCGCTTGTGTAGATGATTATAGCATGCTCTACGTGGGAGCATTCATAATGACCAGTCAGGGCTTTAGATGGACTGATATTTGGGAGCACATTACATTGTGCTACAAGACTCACATTGGTCTTTTATAGGCTTTTATGAGCAATTTAATGTGCTGATTTTAACTTATAAAATACCTTTGTGGCCTAACACCAGCAAATCTTCAGCCCTGCTCTTCAGCCCCACCAATTTGACCTTGCTGGGAAAATGAACTGGGGGGGGGTTCCACCTTTAAGGATATCCAGGCTGCCAACACACTTTTTTACAGCAATTGCTGCTCTCTAGAATGGCCTCCCTGTTTCTCCCTGAACTCAGCTGCTTTCCAAAAGTTTATAAAAATGAAGTTTTTCCAAAAGGCATTTGAGACACAATGATTTTTATTCTTGTGATATTAATGTTTTAACTATGTTTTAAAGAGGACCATAGTGGTCTTAATGGTTTGTATACTTCTAGAATACGAGAAAGAAGTTTGGTTAGTAGTTAATGGGTCAGTCTAGAAACTAGGACACTGTGAGTTCTAGTCCCACCTTAGGCACAAAGCCAGCTGGGTAATTTGGGGCCTGTTGTTTACTCCCAGAAAGGAGGAAATGGCAAACCATCTTGCCAAGAAAACTGTCCAGGTAGTCTCCAAGAATTGGATACAATTGAACAGAAGGAAGAAAAATCTGTAAAGCTACAAAACTGTGGCGGGATATTAAATGTAATAAGTAATTCAGTTTGCTAGCTAACTCCATGGTGGCAGTAAAGGTAACTTTTTCCTTTCTTTAGTTTTGAAAAGTGAGTTTGCTTGCACAGGTTGACATTCTGCTGACACTTGTTCATTCTGCATGTTTTTTTTTCTATTAGTAGGCAAAAAGGATAATTGTAATTATTACTCATGAGTTATGGATTTTTGCTAAGTATAGCAAGCTGTGAAAATTACTCTCTTCTGAACTCTTTCTTCAATAGTATGATAACTTGCTTAGCCATTAATAAATCCAAAGTTAGTGGAGATTGTCATTATTCTCATTTAACTGCCTACAATGCCAAATTTATAAAGGAATTCTAGAAAAATAGAACCTGAAAGTAAACAGGGGTCTGCAACCTTGACAACTTTAAGACTTGTGGACTTCAGCTCCCAGAATTCCTCAGCCAGCAGCTGGCTGAGGAATTCTGGGAGCTGAAGTCCACAAGTCTTAAAGTTGTCAAGGTTGCAGAGCCCTGAACTAGAAGATGCTAGACTGTGGAAGGATAAACTAAGAAGGATACCTTGAGTAAACCTATGCTTTCTTCATGATGTTTTAGAATCCTTTTAAGTGTTGCTTTCTAATAAGAAAATAATGAAATTCTACTGATACAGTAAGTGGTTAAAAACTATTTTTTCTTACTTAATGGTTTGGGGACAATGTTTTAAGAAAGTGTCTCATTTTCCAGTGGAGTGAGTTTACATAATGTCATAATCCATTTATGTTCCAAGTATAACTATTTCACTTTAAGATGTCTTTCATAGCAGTAAGAACAACTTGAATTCCAATTTAATGGTATGTTTTGCATAAAACGGTACATTTCATTGTAATTTTTAAATGTTGTTTGACAATTGTAACTACAGTTTTAAAAATATTTTGTTCTCTCTAATGAGGCATAACAGTTTAAATCTGGCCAGGAATCTGACTTGAATAATTCAAAGAAACATGACAATTATGAATAAGAAAAGATTAAATTGCTAAAGCTCTTTTACAGTGATTACTGCAAAAAAATTAATATTCTTTCAAAACCAAATGTTTTATTATAGTTTTAGATAAATCCTAGATGCTTAGCTTGCTCCTGGGAAGTATGGGGAAGGAGAAAAGGAGACAGATTATAATTGTTTTCCTTTAATTTGTAAGTACACAATACCTTGTCATAACAAAAAATTGTATATTTTATGAAATGGCATATGTTATGAAAGAATATACTTTTAAAGAACGTATGTTCCTCTGTCTGAAAAAAGTGTCCAACTCTACCACAAAACAATTCGACCTCAACAGAGAAAAAAGCTTAGATATGGGAAAGCACAATTTTTTGGCTGACTTTCTAACATAAATAAAGGTACAGTATATGCCGTAAGGAAGCCATTCTAAATAAAGGTACAGTATATGCTGTAAGGAAGCCAATCTACTGCTAAATTGAATGAAGGTTTTCTCTTCTCTATATTTCAGACTCTAGGCTTAAGCATGGGATGTGAGATCCTGCTGGCCATCTTACAGTGGGTCAGTTCCATGTTCAAACATCCCTTATCTCCATTACAATTTTTGAGATTTAATTTGGTAGTACACAGAATCCATATATTGTAGTGTTGCTCTTACACAAAAAATCCTAAAATGTTTATTCAAGATGATTTGCTTACCCTAGCTACAAAGAAAGGATTTTCATGAACGTGCTTATCTAAGCCATGCCCAGTTGGACTTCATAAATTCCTTAGAATACATCCAAGATTTACAAGTAAAAGAAAATTTCATGGAGAATTGAGATAAAGAAAAACAAGTATTTCTAGGAACTTATGCCCTAATTAAAAGAATTATGATTCTAACTGTAGAATCCTTCAAACTGCTATATGTTCCCCAACAAAACAATATCATTTTCAAAATAGCACTGCCATTTGCCAAATTCTGTTGATGAACTAGGAGCAGGTGCGTTAACGTGATTTTTTCCCCTTATTTTTCTCCAAGCGTAACAATTATTATGGATAACTATTCAGAAAGATGCTTTTGTCATGATGCTCCACCCCTCTGAAACTCTTCTCTAAGGCAGTCCTCTTCCTTTGTCACAATTTGTTGGAAAAGATGACTAGTGCCAGTGGTGGGATTCAGCGGGTTCGCACTGGTTTGGCAGAACCGATACCTAACTTTTTGTTGAGTTCGGTGAACCGGTTACAATAAATCTGCGAGGCGCATCGTGCTGGTGATGCCACCAGTGAGGCATGTAGTACCAGTGATGATGTCAATGTGATGCGCATCATGCTGGTGATAATGCGGTGATGACAAATATGCAAGGGCGTCGTGCCAGTGATGACAAACAGAACCAGTTATTAAATTATTTGAATCCCACCACTGACTAGTGCTGTGTATATTGTTTAGAAGGCCCTTGAAGATGCCATGCCAAACCTTTGGAAGGATAGAGCTACTTCAATGCCGTGAACAGCGATTTCAGAAAGGCTATTTCTTTCAAAGGCCTCCAAACAAACAAAATATTCATTTATTTATCACATTTATAAAACTGCCCATCTCACAACTGTGAATAGAACATAACTGCAAATACAGTTGTAGCATTTTTTTCTTTTATTAAATCCCGATACATAGTTTTGCTCACACTCAAAAATGTGATTGTAGCCCCTCCCCTTTTCATAACTAGAATTTCCCTGATCAGAAATGATGATAACGTTAACTACTAACTGCCACCTGATACCAAGTTTGAGAAGAGCAAAATATGGTATCCATTACAGGGGGAAAGCAGAAAAACCAATGTTGGATATAAATTGCTGTGGGAGAAGTAGGAACTGAATTCTCATATGGATATAGAGAAATCAACTGTTTAAGTACTTTTACCTAATATGCAATAAAAATTCTTACTTATGTATCATGCTGAGAATGTGGGTTGTTTCTGAGTTTGAACCCTAGCCCTTTTATTAAAATATAAAATATTTATAATTTAAAAATAAAATATTTATACTTTTGATTGCAAAACTGTCTAAGTGTCTCACAAAACATAATCTACATCAGTAACACAAGAGCATATAACAAATGAAAAAGGCATAAAACCATTACTAATCCTAATTAAGAAATAGCAGGAAATGTTCTATATTACAAATGTTTTTAATAACAGACATTTTTACAGTTTTTATATAATACTGTGATCTTACCATAAAAATGTATTTTTCCTGATGTCCAGAGAACAATTGGTACAAATGGTAATAAATTTCTTAGCAACATATTAAGCACAAAAGATCAATGAGAAACCAAAGTGGAATTTAATCAAATGTATATAAATGGGTTTCAAATTATCTTTGACTAGAATGTGACTTTCATTCAAGGACTCAGGTAAACTGGGACAGAAGTCAAGTAAATTCAAATAATCTGTACTTATTACTCATGCATTACTCGTGATGAAATCAGAGAATAAAAATCAATGCTACAACATTGAATTGTATTTAAGATTTCTAGCTTTGTACCTTTGAGTAAGTACATGTAGACTTTACAAGAAGTTAAAATTTTCAGCTAATGAATATGCAAAATCAGAAGGAAGTTTAATCTATCTTCATTTTTAATCTTTACTCTGAATATTGATTTTAATACAGACATTAAGGAATTTTTAAAAATATAAATTCAGTGCATTCATTGGTTATACCACTCACCACGGATGAGAAATTCACCAAAGAGATATTTTGATTTCCAGGGTTGCATTTAAAATTCAAGGGTTGGTCTGTCTTTCTGCTCTTTGTGTCAGAACTCAGTGACCTGTCTGGATTAGCAGGTAGTTTTTGGAAAGCAATACAGGTCATGCCCAGAAAAATAAATGGCTTGATCCAAAAAGCTTCCAGAGCAATATTAAGAGAAACCTGTCAAAACAAATGTGAAAAATCTTATATTTTAAATGGTCTTTTCATGTCCATATTTAATATACCTCTAAATTATATATCACATTGAAAAGCATTCATATAGACCTGTTTAAATCTCAAAGAAGAATGAATTTACCACATGTAACAAATATAAAATTGAAATTATTTCCATGTTTTATTTATGACATATGATCACAATTTTATGTAATCATCAAATATTTTGTTATATTTACACTTCAGTTCAATTACCACACCAATGTGTGGGACTGGAGCAGAAATTACCCCACTGTAAAACAGAGTACTATGTCAATAATTTGTCATGGAATTATCATTCAAAATTAGGAAAGAGATCTTGAAGAGGATATTGTGGGAAAAGATTCTCACATATTTTTACAAGCAGTCAGTCTAATAACAGGTATTTCTATTACTAAATTGAGAGAGAGTGGAAAACATTCCTCCTGCCTAAAAAAGAATAGCTTGTAGCCTGTTATATTGTTTTGGAAAAGAAAAGCGCTAAGAATGTAAATGTTGATTTTATTAGCTTCCATTTAGTGCAATGTTGAGCTTGCATTACATATAATAATAACAACAACAACAACAACAACAAAGACCTACATAACAAAATACAAAGATCTACAAATAGAAATAGAAAGACTGTGGCAAAAGCAAGCAAGGGTAGTACCAATAGTGATAGGCTCCTTGGGTGTAATCCCAAAACAACTGGAGCACCACTTGAACACCATTGGCATTGACAAATTCGCTATTAGTCAATTGCAAAAGGCAGCCTTATTAGGAACTGCTTCCATCCTGCGACGATATCTGTAATACCATCAAACATCCACATCTGCCTATCCCAGGTCCTGGGTAAGGACTCAATAGGTAGACAAAATGCCAAATCCAGTCTGAACATCTGGCTGACTGTGCGATGATCCATAATAATAATAATAAATGTTGGAAGGGACCTTGGAGGTCATCAAGTCCAACCCCCTGCTCAGGCAGGAACCCTACACCATTTCAGACAAATGGCTGTCTAGTCTCTTCTTAAAAACTTCCAGTATTGGAGCATTCACCGCTTCTGGAGGCAGGTTGTTCCATTGGTTAATTGTTGTAGCTGTCAGGAAGTTTCTCCTTAGTTCTAACTTGCTTCTCTCCTTGATCAGTTTCCATCCATTGCTTCTTGTCCTGCCTTCAGGCGCCTTGGAGAATAGCTTGACTCCCTCTTCTTTGTGACAGCCCCTGAGATATTGGAACACTGCTATTTCTGTCCCCCCTCGTCCATCTCTTCGTTAAACTAGACATACCTAATTCCAGCAACCGTTCCCTATATGTTTTAGCCTCCAGTCCCCTAATCATCTTTGTTGCTCTTCTCTGTCCTCTTTCTAGAGTCTCAGCATCTTTTTTACATCGTGGTGACCAAAACTGGATACAGTATTCCAAGTGTGGCCTTACCAAGGCATTGTAAAGTGGTGTTAATACTTCACATGATCTTGATTCTATCCCTCTTTTAATGCAGCCTAGCACTGTGTTGGCCTTTTTGGAGCTGCAGCACACTGCTGGCTCATATTTAAGTGATTGTCCACTAGGACTCTGAGGTTCCTCTCACAGTTACTACTATTGACAAGGTAGCCCATATACTATACCTGTACATTTGGTTTTTCTTGCCTAAATGTAGAACCTTGCTTTTTTCACCATTGAATTTCATTTTGTTAGGTAGCACCCAGTGTTCAAGTCTCTCCAGGTCCTCCTGTATCTTAAGGCTGTCTTCTGGAGTGTTGGCTATTCCTCCCAGCTTGGTGTCATCCGCAAATTTGATGAGTTTCCCATCTATCCCCTCGTCTAAATCATTGATGAAGATGTTGAAGAGCACAGGGCCTAGAACAGAGCCCTGGGGCTCCCCACTACACACTTTCCTCCATGTAGATGCAGTTCCATTGAGGACCACATGCTGAGTATGGCCGGTCAGCCAGCCACGAATCCATCTGGTGGTGATGCTGTCTAACCCACATTTTTCTATCTTGTCGAGTAGTAGGTTGTGATCTACTTTATCAAATGCCTTACTGAAGTCCAAGTAAATTATATCCACAGCATTCCTCTGATCCACTAATTTTGTCACTTGGTCAAAGAACGCAATAAGATTTGTCTGGCATGATCTGTTTTTGACAAACCCATGTTGGCTTTTAGCAGTTATTAGAATTCTTTCATAATTGTTTTATTAGTTATACATAAGATCAATCCAAACAGAAATCCTCAGATTTTAGGGAATATATAACTCACACTAAATGAAGAATCTGGTAATGGTGAAATAATTCCAATAACCTTGGCCATACAAGGAAGTGGGTGCTTGGTATTCAAGGGCAGTAGCAGCTGCTGCAGTAGTTGCAATAGTTGCCAGATTTTGTTTAATGCATCTGGGTTGCAACTGGGTTAGGAAATGGGCAGCAGGGGCTGCAAGAGGATCATGGCCCTTGTTTAATATCAAAGTCAGAGTTGCAGGAGTATAGGAATAGGCAGATCCAGTTTGCAAGACTTCATAACACACATGGCAACAAATACCACTTCTCCAGAAATTCACCTTCACATTCAGTAACAGAATGTGAGTAGAAATTTCATAGAAATAATAATAATAATGATGATGATGATGATGATGATGTTAGAAGGGAGCTTAGAGGTCATCTAAACAGAAAAGGCTCTTCTCCTGGACCCAGCAGCCAGAATTCCTTGGCCAATGGGATCAGGGGGCCCAGAGCATGCCTCTTCTGCCAGTGCATGTATAGTATATATCTGCACAACTTAGTATAGTAATAAAGTTGGAAGGGACCTTGGAGGTCATCTAGTCCAACCCCCTGCTCAGGCAGGAAACCCTAGACCATTTCAGACAAATCGCTGTCCAGTCTCTTCTTAAAAACCTCCAGTGTTGGAGCATTCACAGCTTCTGGAGGCAGGTTGTTCCACTCATTAATTCTTCTAACTGCCAGGAAATTTCTCCTTAGTTCTAGATTGCTTCTCTCTTCGGTTAGTTTCCATCCATTGCTTCTTGTCCTGCCTTCAGGTGCTTTGGAGAATAGCTTGACTCCCCCTTCTTTGTGGCAGACCCTGAGATATTGGAACATGGCTATCATGTCCCCCCTCGTCCTTCTCTTCATTAGACTAGACATACCCAATTCCAGCAACCGTTCCTTATATGTTTTAGCCTCCAGTCCCCTAATCATCTAGACTTAATACAGTTAGACATTTTTATTTATTTATCTGCCGCCCATCTAGCCATAAGTCTACTCTTGGTGGCTTACAACAATTAAATGAAAAAAAGATACAAAACGTAAACATAACAATAGCCATGAAACAATAACAATAAATAATGAAAGTATACTAATATGAATTAAAAGATGGGTGGAGGGGGAGCAGGAAGTGCAGGGGGTTAGTCTAGTAGCCAACTCCAATTTGGAACTCCTCTACTGGTCCCCAGGCCAACCAACAGATTCAGATTTTCAGGCCAGAGTTCCTTGACAGGATCCGCAGCAGGCCTCCTCTGCCAGCACGAGTAAGGGTGGGCTTAACTTAGTGGGATGACACAGTTCATCAAGTAACCTGGACCAATGCCATGGAGGGTTTTATGGGTAAATTATGTTGCTTTGTGCAGACAAGAATTTCCTTGTGCAGTTAATTGATCACAGTGAGAACAGACTGCTATATCAGATTGCCCAAGAGTCCAATACAGCAGACATTGGTTATGTTATGTTCTACGAAAAGATTATATATATGTAGAAGATGTCTTACTACAGAACATTAGAATGAAGTCTTGAAAGCCAAAGATATCTTACAAAGTAGTTGGTTTCCAGCTTGACACCTTCAGCTCTTACAGCAAATTCAAAAATATCAGATCAAATACTGATTTAATACTCTGATATTGCTGTAACCAGGAGTGAATTTGTTAAGATGGTTTATACTTTAGGCAAAAATCACAGAATGCTATAAATATTTAAGACTTTGACTCAACCGGGGCCACCAACAGATAGTCTTATAGCATTTAGTATCAACCAAATACCATTTATAGAGTTTTCTAGGATTTATTATTGGAGCTGAAATAATAAATCTCTTGACAAAATTAGTTGCTATGATAATACATATCTTATTTTATCTGCAAAGAATGATTTGATCATATAGCCATTAAGTTCAGTATTGCCTACAGCTCTTGGCCATAATTCTACAATAAAAAAGCTAATCAGAAATAGGTTTTAAAAAACTGTTTTGTAAGTCTCAAGTACTTCTACAAGTTTCTAAATCAGAAGATATTTGTACATATAAGATTACAAAACCTCCTTGATGTTTTTCCTGTATAATATTATATGAATAATTCACAATTTAGCAGGCAAACTAAATTGTGGCCTGTATGTAGCTGGATAGGTTCCCATCCAAAAAGATACCAGGAAGGCCCTTCATTTGCAGTGCTACAAGACACATATTCTCAATATACATCCTGTGGTTCTGCATCTGTGAATGTCCTACAACTAAGACTGTATAGCAGGACTAATACCATTCTGGCTGAATGGATTACTTTGGAAAAAGTTTTTCCTTAAAGCCTTAATTTTTATCATGATGATTCCTATTTTCTTGTAAGACTCTGTAAAGTTCTTCCACATGGTACCAGTTTGTAAGATATGCTGTACACAGATTCTGAAATCACGGCTATTCAGTTCCTATTCAGTTTCTGTATCAGTTTTAAATCCTACTGAATGGGCACTGATTTGTAAGGTACTTCCTATTATACGGCAGAACCATGTGGTGTCAGACAGATTGTCACCACTGTATTTTTCATTGTCAAGGACTACAGAGAGTTGCAAAGTGACCTGCTTTCTTACACCAAGGACATTCTGCCCTCTATGCATGACATTTCCCACAGTGAATACCCATTTCAGCTACGCTGTTCAGATTGCAAAGACTGTGTGGAAAAGCTTGTCTGGCTCAACTTCCTAGCTGTTTGTTCAATGCAGACCTGCCAGGTAGTTATAGTCTTTTAATAACTTCATTTTTAGATCAATTAGAATAGCAAAATATCTATTCACATACTGTATCTTAATTTGTTTTCCTAAGTGAAAACCTTCCTCCCCAGCCAATTGCTCCTTCTGCTCTTTCTGGCTTCATCCTTGGCCATTTCTTCCACTAGTCATTAATTCGGATCCAACTATTGTGCTATCTTGTTATAATTCTATAACTTAAAATGATAAAAAAGTGGTACTTTACCATTTCTTTTGCTTTACTGAAATCATAAGTTCTGGCAACGAACAAAACATATGAGAAGTTGTAAACATGGTTCAGTGTCTGCTTCTTCCTTCTGACCAATATTTTACCAAGTCAAGAAGCCATATATAATAATACCTTTGATACAACTTGTGTATTGCTGCTCAAAGTTTGATTTGAGATGCGTGCCACACACTGCACAATTCTTGCACAAGCTTTTTTGTCCCTTTGTGCCATCCATAATACATGGTCATCTACCAGCATTAAATTGCTAGCAATCTCTATGACAGCATCTGCAAGCTGCTAAGAGAAAAAGACAAAAGAAAAGAAAAAAAAAGAGTATAAAGTATCTAACTTCTATACAACATAAGGGCAAAATTGAAAACAGCTGTATTCTGTGAAGCATTCAGAAACTACCTGTTCTAGGAACATCAGCTTATTTTTAAACTTGGTAGTGAAAAGATTAAATTGTGGATATGCCTCTTTGCAAATCAATGATTAGCAAGTCAAAATTATTTCAGAGTTCCGTGAGTCTAAGCAATTGTTCTGTTGAGAATAGATTTTTCTTAGAGACTATTCAGCAAGAGTTTTAGCAATAAAATATAGATGCAAAAAAAATTCAGTTATAAGAATTTGATCATAAACATTTTTAAAAGCATTAATTGCAGCTCATAGTAATAAAAAGGCCAAATTATATAGTATAAAAATGATATAGAAAATAGCAATGTAATTGTTAATAGGATAAAACAGATAAAACATTACTCTCATAAGAATGCTTGGGTATCTTCATCTTCAGATAAAGCTATCCATAGAAATCAATACTTATAACTAAGAGGTAATAACTGATTATGTTATGCATTGGGAACAGCATTGGTTTAACCATAGTTAATACCCAATTTATAGAAATTTGATAAATAGTATCTCAGTGGCTCAGAAATCAGTCCAAACCATAGTTTTCATTTCACAAGAGTCAAATCCCAAACCCTTACTTTAATTTCCAAATGTGTGGTTGGTTTAAACCTAAATATGGTTAGTTCTTGTATTTGCATCTAATATGAACCCATCCACTATTTAATGGCTAATTTCTCAAATCACATATGTTCCTAATTGTTGAATAAGCCACAATGACTGAATTCACACAAACATCAGCACCCAAAGTTAAAAACAAACCACAATTTAATGTGTATGTACCATCAGACATGGTACTCAAAATCAAATGACATTCTATTAAAAACACTTTTAGAGTGATTTTAAAAATAGCAGTAAAATACTTTTGATTAGCATTTTAAAAGAAAATGTAATATTTAAACTTGATTTCTCAAAAAGAGTTATTTTTCATTGACAGATTACAATAGTTTTCCTAATAGTAAGTTCACTTAATTTAAACACCTGTTCTTTAAAAACATAGTCTGGAACCTAAACTATTAACACTTTACCTCTTTTTATTTCATTTAACATACATATAACAGATCTTTTAATGGGTACTAGAATTGAGCACATAGGACTACTACACTTTAATGAGGTGGGGATATATGTTTGAAGTGGTCCAGAATTAATTATCCCACAAGCTCCATGATTATTGGAGCACATAGATTATCCCAGTTTATATTCTACAATATGAAACATAACATATTGCAATATAAGCTAACACATTTTCCCCAGAAGTAACAGTTAAGTCCATTTCTGCTTACAGCTTGACAAGAGTAGGGAAAAGATCAGTCACAAAGAGCTCCATGGTGAATCCATTCAAGAATATAAGTAGAATAATCCAAGTGCTCCAATGGCTTCCCACTTTTATTTTATTGTTTTTTCCCCACTACTGATTTATCAGACCACCCAACATAACAATGAGACTCAACAAAAAGCAAACTATCAACCAAAATGAGCCACATAAAATATACAGAATATATAAATATGTATATGGGGTCACTAATGCTTGGGTGACTTAAAGAGGGTTGGAAAGCACCGGACTTTTGAGACTGGCCACATTGTGAGTCAGGAAATATATCCTAGGGGGGAAAAACACTGACTGCAGTTTCTTCCCTCTCAGTAAAACATTTTAGGTAGATCATTAATTTAGTTACTTATGTTTAGATGACATCTAAAACACCACTGTGAAAATGTTTAAAGTCCAAGCCATTTAACATCAAGCTACCAAGAGAATTAAAAAGCATAAGACATTTTACTGGCATGAATTCTAGTTTCACATGAGTTTGACAAGGTTAGAACCACAGGAAGCTTTATTCAGCTCTTCAGAAAAGAGGAATGAATGGTATGAGTCTAGGAAAATGTGAAATTGAACAAATGCTCAGAAAAACTTCACCTGTTTGAAGTAAAAATGCTAGTACAGTCAATATAAAATGTTTTTATAAAAGAGTTTTTAAGTTTTAGCTCTGGATCACCAAGGCTTCACATTCAGTGGTATATTTGCTGAATTATTCCTTCCAAGATCAACTTTGCAAACTAAAAAGGTAGCAGGAAATTAACAAAGCCAAAATAAATTTTAAAAAGTATTTCAACATATAAGAATCATCAGCCCAAAATACTGCAACGAGAGTTTTATTCAAATATTATATCAGAATTAGATGAAAATATTATTAGATACATCATTGCCAATAAGACAAAAACATTATTTGCGGTCTCAAGATTGGTTTACTAAGCATTTAATTTTCTCTAGAGAAGGTTCTAATGTTGGCAAAGTCAGAAGGAAAGAACAGGTACACATTCGGGCTTTTTAGAAATACAATGAAAAGATGTCAGATTAATCTTAAAATGAACATACTTAGCAAAAACAAATTTAATCCTAAACTCATATGGTCACAGAAAAGTCTATAATGAGTAATAATTTCTTTAGGCATAAGTAACCCTTAGGTTACAAAGGCAATTGGAGCAGGAAACTCTGTTCCCAGTCATAAAGTGCAATATTACATGATATTACTTAAAGTGGCAAATCTGGCAGTTCCTGTTGCTGTTCTTAAATGAAGACTGCATAGTGAGGAGCTCACATGATCACAACATCAGACTTCCTGCTGGCTTCCCCACTTACTTTGCTCATGAGAAGTGATAGGGAACGTTGGGAATTTGAATCACATAACTGCAGCTCACTGCAATGTTGTAATCATGAACTGGGCACTGAGCACCCACACTGCAATCACATGACTACAGAGCTGCTGCAATTGCTGGAACTTGAAGGACCTATCATAAGTCCCTCTCATTCGGTGCCATTATAATGTTGAATTAATGGTCATAACTCAAAGACTATACATTATATAATTCAAATTTTAAAAACCTTTATGAAAAGCTCTTGAATAAGAAGTTGGAATTACTATTTTAAAAAGATTCTCCCCCCCAAAAAAAATCATTACTGGACATTAAATTAAATCCAACATTAAATCCTCATCATGTTAACCAAATGGAGTCTTACTTCTTTGACTTCTTCCATATGTAGAATCAGCTTTTCCAACATGTAAGCTAAATAGATAATGTCCTCTTTATCTGCAAATTTGGCAGCATCTCTTGTGAAAGCTGCTAGCTGATGGGAAAATTCAAGTGCATTGGTAGCATTAAGATGCCTCTGAAAAAGATAAAATTCGGTTAAAAGTTTAATTCCATTTTCTACATTTAAAAAATTAACATTTTCTAGAGATGAAGAACATTATTGATCTATAATTCAAACTTGCAAACAACATTATATTGTAAAATATTTAAATGGTGTAATAAGAACACTATGTTTTAAATCAGCAGTTCTCAACCTGTGGATCGCGACCCCATTTGGGGTTGAACGACCATTTCACGGGGGTTGCCAAACAACACAGTCCGCCATTTTTTCCCCTTTTCCTTAGCTGTACTACTCCCTTTTATTCTATTGCTTTTGAAAGCCAATAGAATAGACTCTCTTGAATAGAGTCTAATTCTATTGGCTTTCAAAAGCCAATAGGAATTGTCCAGGCTGTCTCTGCCCTGCTGAGCCCGCCAAAAGTCCCATTCTGCAAACGGTGCTGCAAGTTGTCTGCAGCGAAGGCGAGCTGTCTGGAAGTTTCCACCCCTCCCTGCTGAGCAACTACTAAAAATGTAAGTAAAAGAGGGCCAGGGATGGGAGGTGGGAGGCCGGCGGGCGCAGGGAGGGTTGCTGGCGTGCATGGGGCCCGGAGAGTGCCTTACCTCCCTTGGGCTGGGCTAGCTGGTGGCCCAGCCGGTGGTCGGCCTGCTCTGTCTCTGCCGTTTGCCAGCTACGCCTCGGCTGGCGCAGGGGGCGGCACCACGCATGCGTGGCGCTCCTGGGCAGGGAAAGTCCTCAACTTATGATTGGTTGGGTAGTCCTCAACTTACGACCGGTTGGGTAGTCCTTGACTTACGACCGGTTGGTAGTCCTTGACTTACGACTGGTTGGGGGTCGTGGCATTAAAAAGGTTGAGAACCACTGTTTTAAATACTTAAATATCCAATACTTGTAACTGAAATAATTTTTTTGTCCAGCAACTTTCCCCTGACAGAACCATTTATCAGCACCATGAATACTGATCCAGTGTCAATAATTTAATTTAAATGAATATTAAAGATAAGGAATAGTACCATGAGAATCACGTCTGAATCAATGTCACAATCTATTTATGCTTCCTTATTTCAAAACAGAATAGTTGAATACAACTAGAGTTATAGTATATACAGTGGTGGGATTCAGCCAGTTCGCACCGGTTCGGCTGAACTGGTAGCTAATTTTTTGTTGCCCAGGCTCAGAATGGACTTCCAGAAGTGGCATCCACACAGAGAACCGGTTGCTCATATATTTGAATCCCACCATTGAGTATATATGTTTGGATAGTTCAGAATCTATTCTTGTTATACAGCTTAGATAGCAAAGACTTTCTCGCAGAAACTTGGTAAGAACTGTGTAACATTTACACATACAATAAACTCTATGCATGACAGTGTGGTTTACCTGACTGAAAGCATGAAGGATTTGAGTTATTTCCTGTGAATAAGGACATTTGGAATAATCTTCTTTAGCCCACCAACCTGTGTGGTTACAATTACGCCATGCTTTTAACTCTTCTTCCCCATTCAGAAAGGAAGCTGATCTTAAGGAATGCTGAAAACATGAATGGTAAGCAGTTACACCTGCCACAGTTTTAGGCCACCTGTGGAAAAAATACAAATAAGCTACTGCAATGCTACACTAATACATTAACATTAGATAAAGTTCCAACCTAAGGCACACTTCCTACAGAATACTGCATATTCCCCTGAACTTATGAGATTGTTGAGGTAAACTAGGAGCAGACAAGTTTTTTCCCAAAAGCTACAGTACTACAGCTGTATTTTGTTTTATGGAAACAGATTTGTTTAGGGAAACTTCCAATGATGGGAACAGCTAAAACAAATGGTGGCCAAGGTCAGAATAAAAAATATAGGGAGAGGGAGAGGTATCCATTTTTTCCTTCTTTCTAGCATTTCTACTTCTTTCTTCAATTGCAACCTCTGTGTGGGTGCGTTTTTGATGTCTTCATTTCCCTCTTCCTTTCTCTTCACATGAAAAGCTTCTGGGAAAGAGGAAGGTTGTTGTTGCTAGAGCATTGAATTGTTTGCTTGCAAAAGACTTCTGTACTTAGCAATGGATTTTTAAAATTAGGCCCTAAGGCTGCAAGTTGCCCATCCTTGTAATAAATAATGCAGTAAACCAGCTGTCTTGAACTGGAACCCATAGAGCAATTCCCTTGCCTGCTTTATATTGAATAATGGGTTCTTCTATTTGAAATCATTTTAACTGGTATAGTATCAATTAAAGAGGCTAGATCTTTTGGTCTTAAAACTGGCAAAGCTTACTTCCTTTGTCTTCACTGGGAGGGGTTATAACTTGGCTCTTTTCTCCCAAGACAGTGATTCAACATTAGTAGGCCTGCCTTGCCCACGTTATCCTTCATGCTTTTAGACTGAAAAATCCCAAATTCCCATTATCAGTCCCAACACTACTGGATAAAGTCAGGTTTAATAGTCCCAACACTATTGGACAAAGTTAAATTTGGAAAGCCAGGTTCAAACGTTATAGAAAAACAATATTTTCATTCCCATCCCTTTTACATTATGTCTATTAGATATACCTTTTCAAATTAAAACATTTTATTTTTTAAATGTTAGCATCTTTCCAAAAAATGTTTTGGTAAACACTGGTACCAATAATATTGGTAATCGCAGTATGAGAACAATACTATTATATTCAATGTATAGCTGAATATTTGTTTTTAGTTTCTTGTATAATATGAAGACTTTTTTCTTTAATGAATGTAAGACCGAGTTCTCAAATTTCCCTTCATACGTACATACATTATCGATACTTTACAATGCCACCATGATGATTTTTGTCTCATTATCCTCCCTCTAAAATTCCATATACAGTATAGAAAATTATTATATCAGGAAGAAGGATAGAACAGAGCCTTCCTCATAATGTATTACGTGCAAATATGCAGTAGCGTTCTGTCAGCCAAGAAATCTTCTCCACTCCAGTCTGAAGTACTGGTGTCAAGATATAACTTTAAAATCTGGGTGAGGAGCAAGTCATATTCATAAGTGGCACTGGCAATCTTTAGGAATTTGTAGAAATTTTATATATTATCAGCATGTATAGGAAAATATTTGATCAATAATTCTATATAATACATTGGCAAAATTGAATTTTATTTTCTAAGTAATACCATACATAGGAAACAAATTATCTTATTTCCATATTTGACAACAACTAAAATAACACATTCTGAAGCCAAAAGTCAGTACATACAAAATTAATCGTGGTAAGGATGTTGTAAGTAATTAAAATGCATTATGAAAGAGTATTTCTGACCTAGATTGTATGTTACTTGAATTAAAACTCAAGTGATGAGATGTTACTCTTCACCCATTTGCTTCACACTCAAGGTCTATGAACTGAGATCCCTTAAATTAGAGGTCTCCAATCTTTCCGGGCTTGTGCATCGGAGGGAAGGAGAGCAGCTTCAAAATTGGTGCCCACGGGGCCACACACACTGGCGCGGCACTAGTGACCCCATATGCACATGCGGCATGAGCTGGCACTGTGAGCATGCACGAATGGCCGCACACCCACAGCAGCAGCTAGCGTCCCATTTGCGCATGTGCAAATGAGCTGTGCAACCCACCTGGGCTATTGGCCCCCTTCGCACATGTACAAATGGGCCATGGACACCCACCCCGCGCTAGTATCCCCGTTTGTGCCACACGTATGCACAGATGGGGTCATCGGAGAGAATGCGCGCCCACACACTGGCCAGTCATTTCCACAGCCCGCTGGCCAAGAGCCCGTGGCCTGCTCCCAGGCTGCAGCCCATAGGTTGGGGACCCCTGCCTTAAATCAATGGTCAGCTATGTGAACTTCAATTCCCAGAATTCACAGCAATGATCGTATTGGTTAGAGAATTCTGGGAAAGAGTGCACCATTGGGCTATCCTTGCAAATTTGTGAAAAATCATTTATCTATGCTGAGATTTGAACCATATAACATTTATTTTCTTGGGATACCTTATGGCACTGCAGTACTTAAGGCTTTTCCTAGACTCCCTTTTTCATTCTGATCCTATCTGGGCATTACGATGGAAAGAGGTCCCCTGCCTTCAGAACCTATTTTCAAGCCATGCAGCACAGGAACTTTTCTTGTGTCACTTCAAACTAAGGAACAGCCTTAATCAGACCCAGTAAGTTGCATTTAAGGAATTGTGTTAGGATTCTGGTATTAGTTTTAGTTATGCTGGGACTATAACTCTCTATAATTGTAGCCTGGACTGCCAGCATATTGAGTGTAATAGTTTCCACTCATCTGAAAACTGCCAAATTGGGGAAAACTTAAAAATTATCTTAGAATCATAAGGCTGGAAGGGGGCATGGAGATCTTCTAGTCCAACTCCTTGCCCAAGGTAACAGTCCTTATACCATCCCTGATAAATGGATGTCCAATCTTTTCTTAAAAACTTCCAGCAATGGAGTACCCACAATTCCAGGAGGCCAGCTCTTCCATTGGTTAATTACTCTTACGGTCGGAAAATTTCTCCTTAGTTCCAGACAGGATCTCTCTTTAACTAGCTTGCACCCGCAGCACAAGAATGCTACACAAGACCGCTCAGTACTGATGGTTAATATTTGGAAAAACCAGGACACAGACATTTTTTGCTCACTTAAAAGTATCTTACTATGAAAGGAGAAAGAAAACAAACATAACCATCATCTTATAATAATAGCTTTTGTTCACTGAAGCTTGCAATACAAATCCTTGCAGCGAGATTTCAATTACACATACCACCTGGACCTGTCAGCTCAAAAGAGTCAACCTTTTCATTTTATTTAATGCATCTTTCTTTTTAAAACAAGGTGATTTTTTCTCCAGTTTTCTTTTGTGCTTGTAATAGATTGCTTCCAACGTATTTGCCATAATACCAAAACATCAAAGACATTTTCATGATACTTTATTGGCAGGGAAACTCATCCAAAAAGAGATTTTTTTCAAAAACACTTCAGGTGTTAATGTTAACTTTTAGCTCGAAAGATATTCTCTAGAATTCTGAATTCATTCATTACTTTGAAATGCCAAAGGAATATACGGACTCAGCATGCTTTTGATGCATGTTTCTAAAATAAATTTGTCCAGAATGTTTGAATGATGATCAGTAATGAAACAAATGTGAATCCTTCAGTTTTCTGATTTAGAGAAAATGAAACAGCAAAAGGCCTCTCATCTTAGCTGAACATTTATTTAACATTTATTTATTATTTATTTAAGATGACATTTATCAGCAATGGAGTGGAAGGGTGGTTAATGAAAGTTGCAGTCAGTACAACTTAGCTTATTTGGTGTATTTTAAAACTGACTCATTAAAGAGCACCTCAAGTTGAGCTTTTCTGTGCTGAGTATAAAAGCGGCCTATCCCTGGGGATAAACGTGTCTTGAACTTTGCAAAGAAAAGCAAAGATTTTCCTCATCAAAACCTCATATGGTTCTTTCACATATATTTATCATAATACCTTTTGGTTGGAATAAGGCTATTTTTACCTTGTTTTGTTTTTTTTAAGTGGAAAGTGAAAACAAAATACCGCTAAGGACTGAATATCCCACCTAAGGATAATGTAATGGGCATATGATTTCCTTTCCAACCAACCAACCAACTATATTCTACTTGATCCATCCTGAAAATTTTAGTCTAACTCTCCTTAGCCCTTAGACATAGTTTTAGTCAGTTTTAGTTTTATAAAATGCATGAAAAAAAAGATGCCATGTTTTCTTAAGCAAATAGAACAGAATATGTGCCTTCAGGAACAACATAACTCTTAGTAGCAAGAAGCTTTACTGCTTTTTCATGTGCTAGTAAGTATCCGAGTATGATTTGTTTAAAAAAAAAAATAATCACCCAGAAGAATGTAGGGCAGAGATCAGCAAGTTATAGCCATCCCAGATTTTTATAGGCCTTGGTTAAAGTTTATTTTATTTTTTTTTTTATTAAATTTGTTTGAGCCCCTCTCACTTTGGGGTGACTCTGGGTGGCTTACAACATTAAAAGTTATAAAACCATAACACATGAATATTTCTAAAAACAATAGAATAGCATTGCAATCAGAGAAAGATTACAACTACAATTAAAAGATGGGGGGAGGGAGCGGGATGTGTGGGATGTAGGTGGGAATCTCCTCTTCATCCATCAATATCCTCCAGTGTGATGCTCCCTAGTTGGGGCCCCAAGACAACTGACAGAAACAAGTCTTTAGGCTCTTATGAAAGGCCAGGAGGATGGGAGCAAATCTCACCCGAAAGGGGGGAGGGGGAGGATGTTCCAAAGGGCAAGTGCCATAGCAGAAAAGGCTCTTTTCCTGGACCCACCAGCCAGAATTCCTTGGCCAATGGGCCAGGGGGCCCAGAGCATGCCTCTTCTGCCGGCGCATGTATAGTATATATCTGCACAACTTAGTATAGTAATAAAGTTGGAAGGCACCTTGGAAGTCATCTAGTCCAACCTCCTGCTCAGGCAGGAAACCCTATACCATTTCAGACAAATGGCTGTCCAGTCTTTTCTTAAAAACTTCCAGTGTTGGAGCATTCACCGCTTCTGGGCACAGGTTGTTCCACTGGTTAATTGTTCTAACTGTCAGGAAGTTTCTCCTTAGTTCTAGGTTGCTTCTCTCCTTGATTAGTTTCCATCCATTGCTTCTTGTCCTGCTTTCAGGCACTTTGGAGAATAGCTTCACTCCCTCTTCTTTGTGGCAGCCCCTGAGATATTGGAACACTGCTATCATGTCCCCCCTTGTCCTTCTCTTCCTTAAACTAGACATACCCAATTCCAGCAGCCGTTCCTTATATGTTTTAGCCTCCAGTCCCCTAATCATCTTTGTTGCTCTTCTCTGTACTCTTTCTAGAGTCTCAACATCTCTTTTACATCATGGTGACCAAAGCTGGATGCAGTATTCCAAGTGTGGCCTTACCAAGGCATTGTAAAGTAGTATTAACACTTCATGTGATCTTGAATCTACCTCTCTGTTAATGCAGCCTAGCACTGTGTTGGCTTTCTTGGCAGCTGCAACACACTGCTGGCTCATATTTAAGTGATTGTCCACTAGGACTCCGAGATCCCTCTTACAGTTACTACTATTGAGCAAGGTACCACCTATACTATACCTGTGCATTTGGTTTTTCTTGACTAAATGTAGAACCTTACTTTTTTCACCACTGAATTTCATTTTGTTAGATAAAGTCCAATGTTCAAGTCTGTCAAGATCCTTCTGTATCTTAAGCCTATCTTCTGGAGTGTTGGCTATTCCTACCAGCTTGGTGTCGTCTGCAAATTTGATGAGTTCCCCATCTATCCCCTCGTCCAAATGGTTGATGAAGATGTTGAAGAGCAGTGGGCACAGAACAGAGCCTTGGGGCACCCCACTACACACTTCCCTCCATGTAGATGCAGTTCCATTGAGGACCACATGCTGAGCATGGCCGGTCAGCCAGCTACAAATCCATCTGGTAGTGATGCTGTCTAACCCACATTTTTCTATCTTATCAAGTAGAAGGTTGTGGTCTACTTTATCAAATGTCTTATTGAAGTCCAAATAAATTATATCCCCAGCATTCCTCTGGGCCGCTAATTTTGTCACTTTGTTTGATTATCTTTTTCAGAATCTTCCCAGGTATTGAGGTCAGGGTGATAGGTCTGTTGTTTCCTGGATCCATTTTTTTTTCCTTTTTTGAAGATGGGAACTACATCAGTTCTTTTCCAGTCCTCTGGTAGTTCCCCAGTGCTCCAGGATCTTTGAAAGATATAGTTAAGTGGTTCTATTACAGGCCAGTCATTCTAGGTCTTGTCTTTTGCAATCACACTCTCAATGTCACATGTGTATATTAAAATGCTGTTCTTAAATATCACAAATCATGCAATCTCACAATGTCTAACAGGATATCAGTCATTTTTCAAATTTAATTTTGGGATTGTAGGCCTGTGTTGGAAACTGTAGGCATGAGGAGCTTTGTGGGGTGTTCAGAATTTAAGAGATAGCGTATCAAGATACTCCTTGTATATTTTTCTCTTTTTATTCAGCAAACAGAATAACAAAAGGTTTAGTTTTTATTCCACTATTTAGTTTTATAACCACTATTCAGGCATTTTAAAATGAGTTCTTCCTCTACTAGGAAAGCAATAATTTCTTCTCTTAATAAAGTTGATTTTGTTATGTATATATTCTGAGTGTTTGATACAGTCCTCCACTTCTAAGAATCTTCCTCTGGCTTCTCCTCAAACTAGAAATTTTCATTGGCCAAACTCCATGTTGTTTTGCTTGCCAGTATGCTTCCAACTCTGTTCATAAAATGTCCTCCTATATATAAGTCTATAAGCGATGCTGAATTAGTCATATTTATATGACTAATACTGGTATCAGCAGCTATTAAATATGATAAATCTCTGCTTCACAAAGCTCAAAATTTTGTTCCATGACTTAACATACTGTATGTCTCAACAGCTCTTTAAAATGGCATGGCTTCAAAAAAACTAATTCAATCCCACTCAAAGTCTTGATTATAATTGATGGGTTTTATATACAGCAAAGCACTATAAATTATGTTGTATTGTTTTTTTGTTTTTTTTCAGATTCATAAGTGATTATCTACATGGTTGTGAAGCAGTTATTTGAAATACTCAAACCAACATTTCTTGTATGCAACAGATCCTTTTAGGTACAGAAAATAGTTCGATTTATGTGTTTCATATTTGGAAAAAACTGTACATATTAGTCAATTAACTTTTGTTCCTAAGGCACTGAAATAGGTAAGACTATAACTTTTTAAAAATAGTTCTAAAGCAAAATTGAAGGCATGTGTCTAATAATGTGTGTCTAAAAATAAAAGTAGATTTTGAAAAATTCACGAAAAATGTTATTTTGAGAGAAACATTTTCTTTATCAAGAAACGAAGGATATAGGTAAAGAGGTATCTTGAAGTCTCCTTCAGAATTCACAGTGGTTTCATGCTTAATTTACATAGAAAAATACTTACTAACTAATCATTTTGTCTTTTGAAATAATATATCAGTTGGACTGGTACATTGTAATGAGCCAAAGTTGATTTCGTTTTTAAATAGAAGTTGAATAACTCACAATAAGCCATGGTTTAAAAAGTCCAAAGCTGGGTTTACGCAGGTTAAACTAGCAACCAACCAACCATAGTTTATTTTGATGTGCAAATGCAGAGAAATTATTATTTTTGTTTGTTCCACTGTATAACTGCTATTTGTAACTATAAAGCTTTCAAAACTAACATAACCCAAGAAACAAATACGGCATAATCTGATTTTATTTGACTAGTTATTAATCTAAATGCTCAGTCTGAAAAGCTTTTCTGTTCAGGAAAGGCAATCTGTAGAGTTTTCACAAGAAAAAAGAAAATTATTGTAATCTGATAACTGAAATATTTTTTTAAAAAAGAAAATCTTACCTGAAATCTCCTTTATTGTTAATTATTCTCTCAGCAGGACAATAAGGTATAGCAGTTTCTAATACAACAATTTCCACCTGCTTAGAAATGCTTCCATAGGAATTGCTAACCATGCACTCCCACATTCCAGTTGCATCAATATCAATACTGGACAAAATAAGCTCACTGCAAAGAAATAAAATGTTTTTAAAAAACTAACTTAAAGTCACATAATGATGCAAACTTGTATACAGATTAATTTGCAGTGTGTCCTAGACAGCCAAATACTTGATGTTGGGTAATAGTGTCATTATAACAAGGCTACTTATGAATAGCTATATTACTATGCTGGAAACCTCAGGCATGCAAAAGACAAACTGCAGTATACTTATTTTTTTCCTATTGCCCCTAAAATCTAGTAAATTCAACATCCAAAATAGATCTATTGTAAAACCTGCCACCTCTTACAATTTAAAAAAAAAAGTAATAATCTTATAAAAATTTAGATCTTCAGATGATCACAATTCTCAAATTAAGACACCAAGTTCAGGATAATTCCCACTGAAGTCCATGCTTTTCAACTAACTATAGCAATACATAAAAATAATCCATACAATTTTAGAAAAATTAGTGGTTTCAGAACATAAAATAAAAGTTTACTTAATAGCCTTCTAGACATTTTTTTTAAAAAATTTATATGCCAGTCATCTCACTATCCAAAGCCACTCTGGGTGGTTATTTTTTCCCATCTATCTTATATTATAGGTCATTCTATGAATGTAAAACATTTACTTCTTTGGGATCTTGTCGTCATTTCTCCTGAGATTCAGTCTCCAAAGATGCAAAATGCATTCAACTTTGAAACAAGCACTCAGCATCACTCCCAGCACAATATCCCTAACAGGATTCTTAACTCTGGACTGAGATTCATAATTATGAGAGTTTCCTCTCCCAACATTTCCCCCCTCTAACATTCAAGAAATAGTCATGGTTCTTTAAGAATCAGTGTCAACATTCAGAAGGAGTAGGACTCCTATGACAGCCTTAGCCAGCCCTTTGCAAACAACACTACTTATAAGGATGTATTACAGTTAATCTTTGTTCTGTGCTATCCAAGGTCCTGAAAGTTCCTGGCTTTTTGAAGATCAAGATCTTGCAGAATACTGCATTGTGACTTACGGGTATCTGAGTCATAACTACACATCCTCTGGTCTTAAAACAGCCCCAAGCATTAGAATCCAAACTAAAATATATACAAATATTTTACTAATATGAAAGTGAAAAATCAAACAGCAATATTTTATGCCATGTTTTCTTTTAGATTAAACAATATCTCTGTGAACCAGTACCTATTATTTTGGATTTTTAGAATAAACCTCCTAGGAATTTATGATAAAATATTCTTTGGTTAAAATGATCCTGGTAGATACATAGTATCTTTATGAGCATTCAATGTTACTTTCAGTTATGAGTTTAAATAAAGTGTTAAATTTATTCTTTTTTGTTCCAGCCATGATCTTACAAGGATGAAAAATCCCAAGTGCATTTGTATAATTTCATTTTGACCTCTATTTTCTTCTGAGTGATACACTAGAATATTTAATCCTTACAAACACTGCTAGAGCCCAACATACAGGATAAATACAGCACAGCTACATTCTGTAAGTAGCTGTAGGTTTGTATGGCACCCCACACAATGCTTCATTCCAGTTTGATGAGTAATCAAGAATCAGTACTTGAGAATGAGTTTTGAGTCAGCTATGTTAATGTTCATGCTATCCAGCTACTCAGCATAATACAGAGCATTTTATCAAATGTTTTGCTAAAATCAAAATATATCCGGCCTACAGCATTCCCGTAATTGGCAAAGTATATTACCAGTCAAAAAATAGCCTCAAAAATATTTTTGACAAATCCATTATGACTTCAAGTAATCATCACATAGTTCATTTTCTAGAATCTTCCCAGCTATCACAGTTAGATTGATTGGTTGTAATTCCCTGCACTATTCACTTCCCCTTTTTGAAAATAAATACCATATATGTCCTCTGCCAATTGTCTGACATTTCATTCAAGTCTCCAGGATTAGTCAGGCACAATGGGTAAACAATCAGCCAATCCATTAATTTTATTTATTTATTTATTTTGCTACTCTAGGATACAGCTTATCTGGCCCTGTAAACTTAAAACTTAGTTAAAATAAACAGGTGTTGTTTGTTTGTTTGTTTGTATAAACCCTAGATTTCGACCTTGCCCATTCATTCTTGTTACAGTTGCCCTGATAGAACATGTAAACTCTTCTTCTACAAGATTGAGTCAAGGCTGCTCTGCCTTTTCTATCACCATATTGTCATCTTCATACAGTATATCAACAGTTGGCTTGTTCACATATTTATCCATTTAGTTCATATAGCTGCCCACTTGACATGTGAGTCAGGGCTGTATAGATAATTTAAAAGAACAAAACCTAAAATATAATAAAAGACACTGCATCAGAGGCGCAGTGGTAGATTCAAGGTGGATTTACAAAGTCTCCTAACTCAGTAACTGGGAGACAGCCAGATATTTAAAGCTTTTCAGAAAGCAAGCAGGATCAAGTCATCTGGATGGGGGGGGGAGGCGAATATTATTCCATAGTGACAACACAAAAGGCACAAGAGAGGATCCTTTGTTTGCCACTTCCTGCATAGCAATGATTCAGTGCTGATGTTTCTCTTTATTTCTCCCTCCTATATATAATTCAGTGCCAGATTCTTTCACAGGTGGGCACATTGCTGAGAAAAACCCTCCCTCAGGGTTCATCTAGGTCTCATTAATGCGCATTAAGCCAGCTCTTTCATCCATGATAAGAACCTGTTATAAGCTAACCTGGCACTAATGAGGCACAGCCTAAACCCAGGGCCACTGATAATCTTAGATACCAGAACTGAGCCCAGAGGTTGGAAGGTGCCCCTTCTATCCATCAAACCAACTTGTCAAAAATCCTCTAATCTCTTCCTAGGTCCAAATATCCTATTCAACTTTCAAATGTTAAACTGCCACTCCCTGACGAGCTAGCTTGTCAGAATCCTTTATCTGCATCTTCTTTTGCAATCAGTGGTAATCTAATCATGCCAGTTTTTCAACACGATACATGTCACAACATACATCCCGACTTATCAGGGAATTCATACAGCCCTCTCCATACCAACTTTGGGCTGGGGTGATCTACAGAGGACACCATTGCCACCACTGTTTGACACCAAGGGAGTAAGCCTCAGTTGCCCCCCAGTCTGGAAAGAACTTCTACAATTTTTCTAAACTACAGATCAAAAGTCCGAGTCTTCTCAGTACTTAGATTCCTCTGATGCTGCAGACAGACACAATGTAAAAGGCCCCACTAGCAATTGGAACAGACAACCCATTGACCACTTTCCTGCAATCCCAATGACACCATGTGTGGAAAATAAGATAGCCACCACTTATGGATTCTATAGAACCTGCAGGATTCTGGCTAACCTTCAACTCAGCTGCCAATCTGACCCTGTTCCTGTTGCTTCTATTCCTAGTACCTGCCCCTCCCCCCTTAGCAATCCAACATCTGAAGCCAGTAATGGCTTACTGCCATTACCAACACTTAGCAGTCAATAGCAGATGCCTTTTCCACAACTGAACAAGCACTCAGTGCCACCAGCCAGCAAATTAGGGCCTAGCAGCTGATTGGCAGCATCTCCAGTCAAACACACATCACTGCTCATTGCTGTCGCTCAGATGCACAGCTGATCTGCAGGTCCAGATCAGTCTCTGACATCTTCTCTGGTTCTTTGATTTTTTTTTCAGTGTATCAGTTGCATCACTGAGCTCGGTTCCCACAGAGCCAACCAATCACCATCTGCAGAGCCTCTATCACTACCAACATTTTAAATAACTGTTGATAGTTCCAGTGGCAGTAAAAGACCCTCTGCTCTTTCCATAGCCATTATCTTTTTCAGAGATTATTTTTCTACCTGTTTCCTTTTTTCATTTTTTAATGATTATTAATCTTATTGAATGTTCTCACTGAGTAAAAATACTTTTAAAGAAGAAAAAGAAAAGTGAAGTATAATGTTAAGTAAATAAGAAATAAAAGAGAAAAGAACAAAGAAATGGCTTCCAAACTTCTTTGCAGCAGTTATAAATGAATTTATTATCTCCTCTGTGTCTTTTTTCATTTTCGCTAATACTTTTTGTGCACTATAACCCTTACTGACTTTTTCCATGGTCTTCCACTGCTTTTGGAATTATTTGCAACTGTGCTTGAGCTTCCTTCCTAGATTTTCAACGTCCATTGAAATAATGTAGCTGTTTTTACAATACCATATATCCCTATGTGGATTAATAGAAAATGATATTTGTTAATTAACTTTGTAAATTTTGGGAATTGTTCTCTCACATATATGCCTTTTGACCTGAAGACAGCCTATTTCACAAGCAAATAAATTCCCTCACCATACATTTGTTTCACTTCCTAATAGCTGAACAATAGGGTTTTTGCAGGACACAGGTACTGTATATCTTCTCTGCTCCTTTCTTTAAATGACCTTGTTTCTTTTTTCAATGCTTTTTTTTATTCCCCTGAAATACAGAGTATGAAAGAAAGTAGATTTGACCTTAGGAAGTGGGAAAAGTATAAAAACTGTTAAGAGTAGAGAAAAGACAACTCAGTCCTGAGAAAGTAGAAGGTTTGAGACATAAATTGCACTGCCTTATTGTTCGGTATAAGAAACTCTGTCAGACTTATAAGATTCTGTTATTTTACCCTATTAGAAGAAACAACGTTCTGCTACTTTTGTATCTCAATCTTGCCTACTTCAAAAGGCTGCCACAGAGCTTGCTTCTTCCTAGAAAGCATGAAAATTATCTCTAAATTCCAGTATGCAGAACATCTTCTATGTCATTTGCATCTGGTCATCATTATTGTCCACTCAGCTGCTGCTCTGTTTAACTGCTCATAGAAAATGACTTTCTATGTTACCTCCAGTTTTGGAATCCAACTGTCCATTTTAAAAAGATTAGAAATCTCGAAGAAAATATATATGTTCCAGCACCTTCCAGCACCTCTCTGTACAAGAGGTTTCATCAGTATCTCGAGCAATTACAGTAAGACTAAATCTGTCTTTAACATTTGTAGTTGTAAGAGGTGATGCTTCATTTTTCATGTACTAATA